CCCCGGGCAATAGGGGATCATGGGGCCCCTGTGTCCTCGTCCACACTCAAACCACACCCAAAAAAGCCTACCAAAGGTACCAAAGGCATCTCATGGGGTCCCCTACTGACCCTCGGTCAGTGCCCGAGTTTCCAAATGGTCAGTCCGCCCCTGGTCTGTATCCCAGTTGGAAAAATTTGCCCTTACTTCCTGTCCTGGAGACACTACAGAGATATAATTTCCTCAATCTGAGGGGAAATTCCAGCAATCACAGTTGTCACTGGAGCTTTACATTCAACTCCTATTCCAGTGACAACTGCATACATTTCCCTTAACTTTTGCTAGTGGTGAAAGTAGTAACCAGGACATAATATTATAATACTTTCCATAATGGAACCCTGGAAGGAGTTCTAAACCTTTCTTACTCTTTGTTAGACAAAGACTTGCGATTAAATTACATTTTTTTAAATTATTATATCTTTATTAATTTTATAATACAAAAGCCACTTTATATCAAACATCATAAAATACGAAAAAAATATATATTTATCTTTCCCCATCAACCTATTAAACCCCCCTCCCTCCACTACCCACCCACCTCCCCTATTCTTCTTAACCCTTTAATTTGCTTCTTGTTCTTCTGATGTTGTTATATCTTGCTTTTTCCCCTTCTTATCCTTTTCCTTCTCTCTTATCTTTCCCATACTCTTATTCCTTTGCCATTTGCTTTCTTTTTCCATTACACTACAACCACTTCTAAATATCTTTTTGATTTTTTGAAGTTATGCCATTCTTCCCAGGATTTTTCACATTTTTCAGTTTTATCCTCATCTATGTGATATAATTCTTCCATCTTATATATATATATATATATATATATATATATATACTCAACTCTATGTATCCAATCTTTTATTTTTGGGGGATCTATTTGCCAGAATTTGGGAATAAGACTTTTGGCCGCATTTAATAGAAGGAACAGTATCGCATTTTTAAATTGCTTCACCAGGATCTCTGATTTATGAAATAAGCAAACCCATGGGCCAATTGTACCCTTACTCCCACACCTTCTCCAACACTGGGGTGAGACCTCTGATCTTAGCTTATGTGTCACGTTAGGTGTAATATACCATCTTACTAGACATTTATAATTCATTTCAACTATATTCATATTTACTGCCCCTTGTGTTAATCTAAACATTTTATTTTTTTGCTCATTCAATTCTGTTCCAAGCTGCTTTTCCCACTTATCCAGAAACATTTGGGACACCTGTCCATCTATTTCAATAAGGATTTTGTAAATCCTGGAGGCAGCATGTTTTGTATTATAGTTGAGCTAAACATTTGCTCTAAAGGATACATTTCTTCCTCAGTCTTTAGTGGCTGTGGGAGCATTGCAACAAAATGTCTTATTTGATAATACCGCCATTCATCCAGTGTAGAAAATATCTCCTTTTTATATTTTAAATCATGTAAAGAACATACCCCCTTATCTACAATATCTACAATATCTTTTAACCGTGCATTTCTATCATTTATCCATTTTCCTGAAATATTATCATTCCCGGGTGGGAAAAACTTTGTTCCCACCAACGGAATTGACAATGAATTAAACTTCCAAACCTTCTGCTTGTGCATTTCATACCAAATCCTAAATACATTCAGTGTCAAAGTGTTTGTATCTTTGTCCAGAGTGCGGAACTTATATGGTATCCAAATAATCCTATTTAGTGGTGCCTTTCTAAGTGTAAACTCCATTTTTACCCAACTCCTCCCTCGTGCATTATATATCCAATCTGCAATTCATGATATTAACACTGTATTATAATATCTCTTAAAATCTGGCATATTTAATCCCCCTTTTCTTTTATTACTGCATAAAACTTAATATTTAACTCTTGGTTTTTTGTTAATCCATACATATCTAAATATATATATTTTTTTTAAAGGATCCTGAAAAAAGACCCTGGTAGGTATATTGGGAGCATTTTAAATTTATATTTATATAAGACTAAATAAGATTTATATAAGACTTTTGGTACTATGATAATCTTTATAATATTTATCTGGCCTATCCAGGGCAGCGTTCCCATTGGGATTTTCCTCAAATCATCCTTTATCTCATTTATTAATGGAATATAGTTTACCTGATATAGATTTTTTATGGGCGATGTAAATTTTATTCCCAAATACTTTAATTAACCAGGGAATTATTTTTATTAAATTTGTTTCTCGACCTTTGGGACATTAATATTTAAAATCTCACATTTTGAGGGGTTAATTTTCAGGTTTGATAACTCTCCATAATCTTTTAATTTTCTAATTAAATTTGGTAATTTTAATCTAGGGTTTGTAATATAAAACATCATATCATCTGCACATGCTGCCACTTTATGCTTGATGATCCCTATCCACATTCCTTTGACGTCTACGCTATTTCTTACAGTTGCGGTTTCAAGGAAATCACAAACAACAATGGAGAGAATGAGCTTCCCTGTCTTGTTCCATTATACATCCTGACAAACTTTGACAATGATCCATTGACCGTCACTGCGGCTGATGGACACCTATATAACTCTTTTATCCACCGCATCATTCTGTGCCCAATTCCTAACATCTTCAGCGTATCTATCATAAATCCCCAATCTACTCTATCAAAGGCCTATTCAGCATTGATCGATAAAATTACCTCCCGTACCTCTCCTCTTCCAATCTTTTGCAGGATAAGCAATGTTCTTAGTCCGTTGTCCCTTCCTTCTCTACCCGGGATAAATCCCACATCCAATCAGGCATCAGCTCTTTCATCCTTATTGCTGATACCTTCATGTCTAATTTTGTATCGGTGTTTAATAAAGATCTTTCCCCTACTTAGGTATTACTGTGATATGTGCCTGTAACGACTCCTCCCTCATCTCGGTCTCTTCTCCCAATGCATTCATGTATATACACAGTTTAGGGACTTCTTATAATATCCCACAGTAAATACATCAGGGCTGGGGATCTTACCTGCAACTGTACTCTCCAATGGTAAGTTAACTTCTTCTGTTGAAATTAAGCTCTTAGTCTAACTTCATCAAATGTAGGTAGACCAGCCTCATTCAAATATATTTGCCTTTTTCCCTTTTCTCTTCCTCTGATTCCTTCTGGTTCTTAAATTCTCCAGCTTTGTGATATCTTTCAACTGATTCCTATCCGATACCTCAAAAGATAGTCTCATTTGGCCTCCGGTACAATTTTCTTCTCCGTGACTCTCTGGGGTTTGTTCCACTGGGTTTTTCTCATGCAAAGGCATATACCTCTTTATTGCACTTGTGTATAAATTCAATTGAGGAGTTTTTGCTCCTCCTCCTTTGACAGATCTACTCCTCATATTCTTTAAGATGTACAATTACTTATAGCTTTAGGTAGAAATTTTACTTCCAGTATCCCCAGGTCCTTACCTGCAATACGGATCTGGCATAAAATCTTTTCCCTCCTGGTCTTTATGTGGGTTACAGTTCTCTGATGTCCCTTTCCTTTTCTTCTTCATCTTATACTTCCTTGGTGCCCCCTCCTTTCTTTTTATGAGCTAACTTAAATGATGTTCTGTTTGCACCATCCCATGAACCTCTGAGACCCCTTGGGAAATTAATGTTATATCCACGTATCTCTCAGCAATGACAATAGTATACACGACCTCAGCTTTAGGGATTTACCACATCCCGTGGCAACTCACCCGCTTCTACGTACTGCATCCACTGGCTGGTCGTCAGCTGTTGGTTATTATCTTCTTCAGGAGTCTCAAGAGATCTCCTTTGGTGGTTGGGGGCTCCCAGGATTGGTGGCCTCTGCCTCGGGTCTCTTTTCCAGACCTAGTAGGTGGCTCTGTACAGCTCCATCCTCCTGTCTCTGGCACCAGTGTCCTAGGTTCCCAGGCTTCCTTTCCCCAGTCACCTGATTGAACACATGGGTCTACCCAGCATCCTCCACTCCTCTGCCAGGTCATTTTCCACCTCCCATTGCACAGGAACCCACTGTCTTCCTATTGAAGCAATGATCCTGGTTCCACTGGACCCACCAGCCACACCTGACACCCCGGACCGGGCACTCTCCGAGGCAGGACGGATGAATGAAGAGGTCAAATGAGTACATTTGCTTGCTGGGCATGGGAGATCCTAGCTCATGCAGCTGCAGAGCACCATGTTCACACCCCTCCCCCCACCACCCAGGAACTGCAAAAGCCTACTTTTAGTCCAGGATTAAATTACATTTTAACTGCAGATTTCCAGCCGTATCATACTGTATGTTAGAGAAAATATATTGTCATAAGATTTTTGAGTGGGTTTGAATAGGGGAACTTCTGACCAATATTCAATTTAGCCTAATGCAACACAAGTGTGTACCTGCTGCATGTCTATCTAAACTATATTGCCAAAAGTATAGACAGGCCTGCCTTTACATGCACATGAACTTTAATGGCATCCCAGGGTTCCACATTGAGTTTGCCCATCCTTTGCAGCTATACCAGCTTCAACTCTTCTGGGAAGGCTGTCCACAAGGTTTAGGAGAGTGTCTATGGGAATGTTTTACCAGTCTTCCAGAAGCACATTTGTGAGATCAGGCAGTGATGTCAGACGAGAAGACCTGGTTTGCAGTTTCCTCTCTAATTCATCCCAAAGGTGTTCTATTAGGTTCGGGTCATCCATGTCTTTATGGACCTTGCTTTGTGCACTGTTGTGCAGTCATGTTGGAATAGGAAGAGGCCATCATCAAACTGATCTCACAAAGTTGGGAGCATACAATTGTCCAAAATGTCTTGGTATGCTGATGCAATTAGAGTTCCCTTCACTGGAACTAAGGGGCCAAGCCCAACTGATGAAAAACAACCCCACACCTTAATCCCCCTCCACCAAACTGTATACTTGACACAATGCAGTCAGGCAAGCACCGTTCTCCTGGCAACTGCCGAACCCAGACACATCCATCAGATTGCCAGACAGAGAAGCGTGATTCATCACTCCAGAGAACACATCTCTACTGCTCTAGACTCCAGTGGTGGCATGCTTTACACCACTGCATTGCACTTGGTGATGTAAGGCTTGGATGCAGTTGCTCAGCCATGGAAACCCATTCCATGAAGCTCTTTACGCACTGATGTTATGCTAATCTGAAGGCCACATAAAATTTGGAGGTCTTTAGCTATTGACTCTGCCGACAGTTGGTGACTTCCACGCACTGTGCGCTTCAGCATGCACTGACCCCGCTCTGTCATTTTACGTGGCCTGTTGTTGTTCCCAGTTGCTTCCACTTTGTTATAATACCACTAACAGTTGACTGTGGAATATTTAGTAGCAAGTAAATTTCACGGATGGACTTATTGTACAGGTGACAACCTATCACGGTACCACGCTTGAATTTACTGAGCTCCTGGGAGTGACCCATTCTTTCACAAATGTTGTAGAGGCAGTCTGCATGCCTAGGTGCTTGATTTTATACACCTGTGGCTATGGAGGTGATTGGAACACCTGAATCCAATGATTTGGAGGGGTGTCACAATACTTTTGACAATATAGTGTATGTATATATCTATCTATCTGCATTTGCTCTAATTTTTACTACCGTACTTAAATTTGTTCTCATAATTTACATTTTTCTCTAATGCTGGAACATCTGCCCAACAGTCAATTTAGCCTAATGCAACAAAAGTGTGTCAGAAGTCTATCTATCTATCTATCTATCTATCTATCTATCTATCTATCTATCTATCTATCTATCTATCTATCTATCTATCTGTCTGTCTGTCTGTCTGTCTGTCTGTCTGTCTGTCTGTCTGTCTGTCTGTCTATCTATCTATCTATCTATCTATCTATCTATCTATCTATCTGCATTTGCTTTAAATGTTAGTTGCAGTTCTTACATTTGTTTCCATCATTTGCATTTTTCTCTAATGGGTTTATCAACTTATGTATTAAAAAGTGTTAAAAAGCATTACAAGTTGCTATATGCCGAAATGGTAGAAGATTAAAAGCAGATGGTAAACTGATACAGACTAATTATACATTGTCAGTTTTGGTTTACTGTGAACTTGCAAACGAATACATTGTTACAGTCTTGTAGAGAACTATTCGCTACTTCTCACTTTCACAGCCTGAAAGCATTGTTTGGGTGTTATGTTAGTATATTGTATATTTGTTCTAAGCCATACTTTTTACCACCCCATCTCATGCTTTAAAGTGGTTTTAATCCCTAAAATATACCCAGTGAAGTGACTGCCCTCAGGTGATACAGGGAGATTACATAAATCCTTCTACATATGTTGCATGTGTCTATTTGCAGTCTTCCCTTTTCTACATCCATTCAAAGTCCAGAATTTATAAAGCATGCCTGAGCTGTCAGAAAACTGGCAATGGGAGCTGAAATAACACTCTGCAGAGATCAGTAAGGAGATCTTTGAGAGATGATTGGAGGGAAGGGAAACACAACCTTTCACACAGCACATGGAACAGAGCTCAAGCTATCAATCATAGACTGTGTGCTGGAGCTCCCTCCCCTGTCACTTTTTTTTCTCTTGATGCCAGGAAAACTTGTCAGAAGTGATTTCTGCTTATAGCAGAGAAACAAAGCAGCAGACAGAAATGACACTTAGTGCTCTTATTTGAGACAATCACACACTATAAAGGGATATGTTTTGTTCATATTTAATATTAGGTTTACTTTAATTCCAATGAAACCATGAAATGTATAACACAACACTACCAAGAAACATGCAGAGACATGTAGTTCAATATTGTATGTACGATGTGTGTTTTGTACAGCTACTGTATCTACTGTGTAGAAACTATATGAGTAGCTAAGTACAGGATATAATTTAACAAAATTAACTTTTTCAGGTTGATGAGAGGTTGAAGAGGAATAACTGGTATTGGAAATAATGTACAGAAATCAGATATGTCATTCCACCGCTTCATCTCTGTTATCTTGCATTTTTAAAAGTTCAAAAATGCACATTCCAATCTATAAAACAATTTAGTGCCATTTACATACTGAGTTTATAAAGGGCACATGAGGTCAGATAGGCGATTCATGATTGATTTACTCCTTTATCTACTAAATAAAATGACATTTACAATGCAGTTTATCACTAATTTAAAACACTAGTTTAGTTTTTCTTTTGTTCTAATTCTCCTTTAACATTGTTGTATAACCTGGGCAGCACAGTGGCTTAGTGGTTAGTCCTTTTGCTTGGAGCAGTAAGGTCATTGATTTGAATCCTAACCACAACACTACCTGCTTGGTTTGCCTGATCTCCCTGTACTAGTGTGAGCTTCTTCTGGGTTCTTCATTTACTCTCACACAACTGATGCTGGTAGGTTAATCGGCTCATGTCTAAACCAGCCCTAGTATATGTATGCATGCAACATAGGGACCTTATTTTGTAAGTTCCTTTATGGAAGGGACTGATGTGAATGTGTACTATATGTGGAAAGCACTGCATAATTTGTTGGCGATATATATATATATATATATATATATATATATATATATATATATACAGGTGAAACTCGAAAAATTAGAATATCGTGCAAAAGTTCATTTATTTCAGTAATGCAACATAAAAGGTGAAACTAATATATGAGATAGACTCATTACATGCAAAGCAAGATAGTTCAAGCCTTGATTTGTCATAATTGTGATGATTATGGCTTACAGATCATGAAAACCCCAAATCCACAATCTCAGAAAATTAGAATATTACATGCAATCAATAAAACAAGGATTGTACATAGAACAATATCGGACTTCTGAAAAGTATAAGCATGCATATGTACTCAGTACTTGGTTTTTGCCCCGTTTGCAGCAAATACTGCCTCAATGCAGCGTGGCATGGAAGCTATCAGCCTGTGGCACTGCTGAGGTGTTATGGAAGACCAGGATGCTTCAATAGCGGCCTTCAGCTCTTCTGCATTGTTCAGTCTCATGTCTCTCATCTTTCTCTTGGCAATGCCCTATAGATTCTCTATGGGGTTCAGGTCAGGCAAGTTTGCTGGCCAATCAAGCACAGTAATCCCACGGTCATTGAATCAGGTTTTGGTGCTTTTGGCAGTGTGGGCAGGTGCCAAGTCCTGTTGGAAAATGAAGTCAGCATCCCCATAAAGCTCGTCTGCGGAAGAAAACATGAAGTTCTCCAAAATCTCCTGGTAGACGGCTGCATTGACCCTGGACTTAATGAAGCACAGTGGAACAACACCAGCAGATGACATGGCTCCCCAACACAGACTGTGGAAACTTCACACTGGACTTCAAGCATCTTGCAGTGTGTGCCTCTCCATTCTTCCTCCATACTCTGGGTACTTGGTTTCCAAATGAAATGCAAAATTTGCTCTCATCAGAAAAGAGGACTTTGGACCACTGAGCAACAGACCAGGACTGAAATAAATGAATTTTTGCACAATATTCACATTTTTCGAGTTTCACCTGTATACTATATACAGTATATACCACTAGATTGGTGTAAGGCCAATGTGGTGCCTATATTTTAAAAGGGGTCAGAATCTTTACCAAGTAATTATAGACCTGTTAGTTTAAGTTCTATAGTTAGGAAGATACTGGAGAGTTAAATAAAAGACCACATAGATGAGTTCTTGCTGGAAAAAAATATTTTAAGCAAAAGACAGCATGGAGTCATGAAAGACAGAAGTTGTCAAACAAATCTGATTTCTTTTTATGGGGAGATGAGCAAAACCTAGGACAGAGGGGTGGCGGTGGACGTGTATACTTGGATTTTGTAAAAGCGTTTGACACAGTTCCCCACACATGGCTAATGTGTAAGGCAAAGTCTACAGGCTTGGAAAAATCTGTATGTAAATGGATAGAAAACTGGCTAAAAGATCGTATCCAGAGAGTAGTGGTTAATTATTCATACTCTGAACGGTCTAGGGTTGTCAGTGGTGTACCCCAAGGTTCACTGTTGGTACCCTTACTTTTTAATATATTTATAAAACAATATAGGGTCTGGGATTAAAAATCCCATTTCAGTCTTTGCAGATGACACCAAGCTGTGCAGTGGAATAACGTCCTTACAGGATATCTTCAACTTACAAGCCAATCTCAATGCACTGTTTAATTGGGCAACTATGTGGAAAATGAGGTTTAATGTTAATAAATGTAAGGTTATGCACTTGGGGGCTAAGAATATGCATGCATCATACATACTAGGGGGAGTATAACTGGGGGAATCAATGGCGGAGAAGGATCTGGGAGTTCTGGTAGATCACAAGCTTAATAATGGCATGCAATGCCAAGCTGCGGTTTCTAAAGCGAGCAAAATCCTCTCTTGTATTAAAAGAGTTATAGACTCCAGAGAGAGAGATATCATTTACCCCTGTACAAATCATTAGGAAAACCTTATCTGGAATATGCAGTTCAATTGTGGGCACCAATTCACGAAAAGAATATTGGGGAACTGAAGAGAGTACAGAGAAGGGGGCAACCACACTAATAAGAGGCATGGAGGAGCTCAGCTATGAGGAAAGATTAGAGGAAATAAATGTATTCTCTCTTGAGAAAAGGAGATTAAGGGGGGATATGATCAGCCTGTATAAATACATTAGTGGTTCTTATAGTGAACTCGGTGTAGAGTTATTCACCTTGAAGTCATCACAGAGGACAAGGGGGCTATCTTTACATCTGGAGGAAAAGAAATGTAAATCTCCAAACACAGAAAGGTTTCTTCACAGTAAGAGCTGTGAAAATGTGGAATAGACTCCCTCAAGAGTTGGTTCTGGCCATCTCAGTGGATTGCTTTAAAAAAAGGCCTGGATTCTTTCTTGGATACACAGAATATAACTGGTTACTAACATTTATAGGTAAAGTTGATCCTATACGATTGCCTCTCGGGGGATCAGGGAGGAATTTTTTTCCCCTGCAAGAGCAAATTGGATCATGCTTTGCTGGTGTTTTTGCCTTCCTCTGGATCAACTGTGGGTGTAGGATTATAACTTTTTTTCAACAGTTTAAGATGATTTGAGCATGGTGCATTATCCTGCTGTTAATATCCATCAGAAGATGGGTACACTGTAGCCATAAAGGGATGAACATGTCAGCAACAATACTCAGGTAGGCTGTGGCATTTAAAACGATCCTCAATTGCTACTATGGGGCCAAGAACATGCCAAGAGAATATCCCTCACACCATTACAGCGCCACCAACAACCTGAACCATTGATACAAGGCAGGACAGATCCTTGCTTTTATGTTGTTTATGCCAAATTCTTACCCTATCATCTGAATGCCACAGCTGAAATAAAGACTCATTAGATCAGGCAAATTTTTCCCAATCTTCCATTGTCCAATTTTGGTTTTTGGTAAGCCTGTGCGAATTGTAGCCTCTATTTCCCATTCTTAGCTAACAGGAGTGGCACCCGGTGTGGTCTTCTGCTGCTGTACACATCTGCTTCAAGGTTCAACGTGTTGT